CCCAAAAATGACAAAAAATGCATACCAACGCAATGCGGAGAACTGGATGGCACATCCGATGTGCCATTTGACTGATACCTTTGCTCAAACTAATAAGATAATGCAAATTGTTTGAAAAGTATGGCGTAGGCACCTACGCGCATTTTACCCGACTGGCTCAGTATTACACCGTTGCCTTTTGAGTCATATTGTAGGAAGTCACATGTTCTGATGTCGTGTTGCACGGTATCGTAATTTTAACATGCTTTCTTTACGGTGCAGTAACTATGAGAAGGTCTCCTTCTAAGACGAGCCCAACGGGAGCTGAGTGCCACCTGGTGATCACTCTATCATGACAGCGTCTTCATGTATATCGCTACTGCCGAAGGCGAGGCGCATACGTGACAGCATTTCAAACGGTTCACATGTGCTGCAGGTACAATTTGCCTTTCGAAGCGGAATACCATGCCCGTTCTAAGGAAAATTAAATGAAAAACGTTTCTAGACAGTTCCATTCACATCATTTAACATGCAATATTCATCACCCCAAACAGTGGCATTGATTTTTATGAATACTTGGGGGCGCCAGCTGAGACCGGCATGGCCTAACATCTGCATTTTTACGATGGATGTTGTACGGGCCCTTCAGGCCCTCAACATTTACCACTTTATGTTGAAGGGAGGCAATCTGTCTTTTTAAACGGAATGTGCCACCTATTTCTTTGCTTCCTTATTGTTAGATCAGAGGCTTATGATTTTATCAGTAATACCAGTTTCCTCGAAGTCCTTCTGAACATTTTTTTTATTTTTTAAAGTAGCTGCTGTTGCGGAAGAAATCTAATTGTGCTCCTTGTTCACCAATATGAAAGTAATATATTTTATTTGCCTTCCTTTTTCCAGTGTGTACGCTCTGCAATGTTGGGAGTCATCAAAACGTCCAAGATTGTGTCGTCCGGTGCTCATATCGTCCAGGATCGGAACATCCGGCATTCATAACGTCCAGCATGCGACCAACCCCGTACTTATTGGGGACGTTTATAAGGTCCAGGCGCGAAACGTCCAGAGTCGCAAAGTCCACAGTCGTAAAGTCCAGTGTTCAACACGTGAAGCATTCCGGCACTTAGGTTAGTTTGGATTCCTGCCGCTAGATGACACTACAGAAACATTCTCGACTCCTGCTGCTATTCCCCTCCTTCGTCCAAAGATGACACAGTCAACCTGTCACTCCACCGACGATCACGTGATACGTGCAGTGCACCATGGCCACTATAGATTACCTAGACGCCTAGCGGCCGTGTCCGGCCGAGGCGCGGCCGCGCCCCGGAGCCCACCGGCGGCTTGGGCGCGGGTGCGCCGGGTGGCGCCGCGGCCGGAGACGCGGCGGGCGGCGCGGCTTGGCCGGGACCGCTGCGCCCGGCGGGCAGGCGGGCTCTCCCGCCCCGCCGTTGCTGCGGGGTTCCATAGGCCAGGATGCGATTGGTTGTGCAG